TATTACATAAAATTATTATTATCAGTATTAACTTTCATGGGTGTGATTACATATAGATAGGTGGTGTTATTGTGATGTTATTAAGTGCCATGGAGTTGGTTCCAACTCATATTGACCCTGTATAGGGTTTCCAAGGAGCAGCTGGTGGGTTTGAACTGCTGACCTTGTAGTTCACAATCCAGTGCTAATCTACACCAATAGATAGATACACCAATAGATAGATAGATACAGAGGGCAAATAAACCAAGTGTAAACAACTGGTGAATCTAGGTGAAGGATATCTGGATATTCATTGTACTTCTATTTCAGCTTTCTGTAAGATTTAAATTTTTCAAAATAAAATGTTGGCAGAGGGAGAATAAGAAAATCCCAGCAGTTTCTACGAGTGATGTAAACACATGTCATGTATTTGTTTTAAATTGTGGACATGAGGATTTTTATTTTAGCCTATGGCCCAGCTCCTCTTATTAAAAAAGCCCTTCTTGTGATCCTGGTGGTGCTGGTGGTTGTATGCCGTGGAGTTGGTTCTAATGTCTAACAACCCGGTATCGGATTTCCAAGGCTCTAAATCTTTACAGGAGCAGACAGCCTCACCTTCCTCTCATGGAGCGACTGGTAGATTTAAACTGCCAGTCTTGCTGTTAGTAGCCCAACTCATAACCCACTATGCTGCCAGCGCTTCTTCCTTGTGATCCTACTTTCCAATAAATGTACAGCTGAGCAATCCCTCCTGGAGGGCAAAGAACATCTCACTTCCTAATTACAGAGGCCAGAGAAGTTCTGGAACAGTGCCCTGGTGACCAAAGTCAGACATATTTCCCTGAGAAGTACAGCATACATTAGGAAAAGTCCAGAGGCAGACCCAAATTCAGCCTCTCCCTAGCTGAAAGAAACTCAGAAAACCAAGGCAGCATTAAGAATTTAAGTCCATTCTGGGCTAAGTCATACTTGACTAGTTAAGAAACCAGATGAAAAGAGCGCCTCTCTTTCTCACCTGAGCCTAATGTGTCATTACCCAGCTGAGCCTTCTACATGAGCCTCGGTTTCTTCACTTGAAAGGTCACAGTAGATCACCTCTGAGATCTAACAGATACTAGGAACCCTATTGTTAACTTCTTATCACCCTGCCTCCTTTAACTCATTTCTCTCTTCATTTCAGATTCTAGACATTAATGTGAAGGCCGCAGCCCTGCTGACAAAGGCAGTGGTGCCAGAGATGGAAAAACAAAGGTACAAAGAGTGAGCGGGGAGCTTGAGTGCCGTGGGAGTCCACACAGGGTTGAAGACTGTTTCCACTGTGGAAAGCATCAGTTTCCTTCTTTTTTCAGAGGCGGTTCAGTGGTGCTTGTGGCCTCCTTAGCAGCCTACACCCCATTTCCTGTAAGATCCCCTTTCTCTGCTACTTTCTTCCCTTCCTCCATCCTCCTCCACCTTCCTTTCTCTCCAGCCATTCTGAAAAGTTTGTGACCCCTTTGGGAATCACAACACCAAGTTCTACCCCTTAATAGATGCCTTGCCTGCACATCCCCTAACCTGAGAGTAGTTTAGCCACCTGTCAGTTTCTTAATTGTGACCCTCACTTGTGGAAGATGCCCTATTGATCACTGCCCTTTATGTCTAAAGATATGAATCAAGAAGAAACCATAAACTAAGGAAAGATACTAACCCATTCTCTCCTTTCTTCAGGCTCTGGGCCCTTACAATGTTAGTAAAACAGCCTTGGTAGGCCTCACCAAGAACCTGGCCACAGAGCTAGCTGCAAAGAACATTAGGGTGAACTGCCTGGCGCCTGGACTCATCAAGACCAAATTCAGCCATGTGGTGAGAAAGGGGAGGCCTGCCATTTACCAAGTGATCCCTAAAGGGGATCCATCTTCCTGGATCTGCCTGGGTCCTGAGCTCCCAACAATTTCCATCTCTTCCCCCTAGGATTTTTCCCTCTGCACGCCAGCCAGCCACCAGATCAGACCCATACACACACCACACTCCTTTCTCAAGTAATGAGAACTTGGGGAGACTTTACTTTTTGAAGACCAGCAAACTGTCTCACCAATAAGAAACCGAAAAGGATGGTGGGAAAAACTGGGACTTAGGAAGGGACTGAAAGTGGGAGGAGTCTCCTCAGTCTTCGTCTTGTGAGGACAGGCAGTCTCTTCTCATCTCTGTCTCTCAGTTTCCTCTTCTCTCCCATAAAGAGATTTCCCCTAGCTTCTTCCTTCTTCCTGCAGATGTGGATGGACAAAGAGAGAGAGGAAAGCATCAAAGAAATGCTGCGTATAAGAAGGTAAAGATGTCACAGTGGAGGGGTCAGAGGGATAAAGATGGAAGGGTTTGGTCTTGCTGCCCCAAACTCAGACTTTACAAGTTCATAAACACTGTACTGCTGTAGTGGAGTGTGCAAAGAGCCCACTTTCATTGCAAACAACAAATAAACAAACACAGAGCTCTGGGAGGGGTCCTGACTCCTTTCTCCACCTGGGTGTTTGTCTCCACCTCTGAGCATCTGTCACCACCAGGGACACACACTTTTTTAGTTCCCTTGAATAAAAAGAGTCATGCTTCCAAAGCTTCACTTGCTGGTTCTACAGCCCATAAAAAATAGGAATAAAGAGCTTTACAAAGCCCAGAATTCCCAAACCCGAGAAAATTACTGTCTTCCTCAATGGGTTAGCCAAACTCTTCAGGATCCTTCATATGGCTCCCTTTCTTCCAAGCTTTCTGCTTCTAACACTTCCTTTCTAAGTACTCTCTTGTCCTACTCTCTCTTCCATCTTGTTGCCTTCAAGGACAAATACCAAAAACACCTACCTTTTTATTGGTCTAGACATCCTAGACTGTGTCAAATCCTCCAAAAGCCACTCTGATATCCAGCATGAACTGCAACCCTAGTTCACAGCTTATTCATTAGTCAGGGTCTGGACATGCCTGAATTGTAGTGAACAGTTCTGCCCTAGGCTTCTCAATCCTGGGTGCACATTAGAACCATCCAGGTAGCTTTGAAATACACATGCTCACTCCCAGAAATTAGTCTAAGGTAGTACCCGGGCATCTTTTATGTTGTCTTTCAGCTTCCCAGATGACTTCAGTGTGCAGCTAGGATGGAGAAGCACTAATCCAGGCCTTTGAGGTTTTCGTTACTCACTTACCTACCTCTGGAGCATTCCATGGCAGTTAGATCACACTTATCCTTTAATTATGCAACCACTCATGCAAACAATGGGAAGTAGCACATCCTCACAAAATGAACCTGACTTTAAGGGATAAAAGTATATTCCTTGAAAAGTTTCTGTATATTGAACATGCACAAATGAAATCATTTATTAAACACACCACTTACTGTATCACAGGCTCCCTGACACTTAGTCTGCGTACATGTGAAACAGATTCTGTTGGTATGAAATAACTGTTCCCTATTCTGTCATTTATAACTTGGTGCACTGAGTTCTCTAAAAATCAGTGTTCATATGTTATTTGAATGTGATACATATTGACTGTTGCTGAGTACAGTATTTATGCTGACACTACATGATAACAGCTTATTCTCATGGTAACTCTTGTATAATGAATGGGAAGTCTGTCCACTGGTCCTGAAAGGTCATCTGATTGTTCTTTTGTTGTTTATTGTGGTGAGTATATAGGTAACCAAACCTATATATACATGACAATATATAGGTATAGGTATCCAGATACCAGAACCTTTGCCATTTCTCTGACTGATAATTCTGGATTAAGTAAAAGTCATTGCCTGTAGACCAGGGTCAAAGGGCCTGGTCAGTCTGATTTTCACTTCTTTGTTTCCTCTATTTCCCAGGATAGGCGAGCCAGAGGAGTGTGCAGGCATCGTGTCTTTCCTGTGCTCTGAAGATGCCAGCTACATCTCTGGAGAGACCGTGGTGGTGGCTGGAGGGGCCCCTTCCCGACTCTGAGGAGCTGGAGAGAGCCCACCAGGGCAGAGATTGGACTCCAGCCTCCGAGGTTCTGTTCCAGCAGTCACAGACCAGCCTTCCCCACCCCCTGCCTATCTTACTGCTTACCTTATTATAACCCACCTCCCAAAAATCAGTTCTGCCCTGTGAAAAGAGACAGCCTTCCCTACAGTCAAGGTGTGGTCTTACCAGGCCCAGGGTTGTGGCTTTTGCTCTGGATAAAGACTCTCTTTGATAATACAGGGCAGGCCTGCAGAGAAGGCTGAGTCTACATTGACAAAGACCAACTAATTTTTTTTTCTGGGCATCTGGGGAATTGGAGAGATGAGAGAGAAAGAACCTGGAGTGGAAGGCACAGAGTTGGAAATTAACAACTTGCAAATGAGATGCAAATAAAATGCAGATGATCTTGTCGCTTTGAATCACAGTATTTCTTTTAAAGTGTGGGGTGCTTAGGTATGGTAGCTGGGCAAAGCAGAAGTCTGGGCAGGCTGGATGTCTGGATCTCCCTAACCTCCCTTTCTCCCAGACCTGAGCACAACGCTCAGGGGTGGAGTGTCTGCTGAGCTGCCAGCTGGGAGGAGGTGGCACGGGAACTCCCAGGCGCTACTCTCAACCTCACGCCCCCGGGAATGGCGCCAGGGACGCCTCAAGGATCCTTAAAGCTGCGTGAGCGGGAAAGGAAAGACGAACTCCCCTGATCTTGCTGGGTTCTCTCCCAGAATCGCTTTTGACCCCAAGCTCCCTACCATATCAGGGAGGTCAAACTGGACGTATCCTAAGCCGCCAGGGAAAAGGGAGGGACCCTGGAAGGATGGCCCAGGTAGAGGTACGCAGGCCTGCAAACAAAAGAAATGAGCTCTGCCCACGGTGTCCAAGCAGTGGGTGACACGGAAATGGGAGTGCTGCCCCTGCTCGGAGATGGTCCGGGCGCCAGGCGACGCACACTAGGGGTCGCACACGGGAGTCGGCAGGAGGCGTCCGCGCGAGCGCGCTTGGGGGGGGTCTCACACGGCGCGGTGCGCATGCTCCGTTGAGCACTTCTCCGGGCGGGGCGGGAGGAGGAGCGCTCGCGCAGCCGCCCCTGACGGGAGCGGGCTCGGCCGCTGCTGCAGCGCTCCGCGCCCGGGCCCAGCCAAAGCCGGGTCTAGCATGTGCCGCGGCTCCCCAGCGGCGGCGGCTCCTCTGCAGCAACAGCAGCAGCAGCGAGCGCCATGGCCAAGCCCAGCGCGGAGCTCACCCGCGAGCTGCAAGGTACGAGGCTGCCCTGGTCTCCGGGACGCCCCGTCCGTCCGGGAACATCCCAGACCCAGTACATTCCTCCCGCGGTACGCCCCAGCCCCAGTGCCTCCCGCCACCACCACCACCACCCCCAACTCCCATGCATCCCGGCTCCACGGCAGCCCCTTCCCCTGCATCCCCAGCTCGGCATCGCTGTCCCCAGAGCATCCTCCGCTGCCCTCTCTCGCCTCACCCTATCAGGACCTTCCTTGTCCCGCAGCCGCCCGTCCCGCTCTTCGGTGACAGGTGCAGTCCCCTGGCACTCCCTGAGGCTGACTCTTAGCGTTCCAGGCCCACCAGTGTGGCGTCCTGTCTCTCCTCCGGAGAGTCCCGGTTTTCGGTTTTCCCACCGGGAGGGGCCAGGCCCGCCTGGCGGTGGGAGCTGCCCCTGGTCCTGACCGCGCTTGACTCCACACCTTCTCCCTCCTCACGGCCCCGCCCCGGAACTGATCCTGTAGAGTTTCCTAAGAACCAGGTAGTGTCCAGGATAGTGGGGCAAAGAAAGGAGTCAGGGAAGAGGGTTGGAGAGGAAATCAAGAGTAGGGTCTTTGCGGCTCGCTCCGTAGTCGCCGGTCCCAGCCCGCCCCTTCACTCTAGCCTCTGCCCTCACCTCAAGTCCTCTCATGTTTGCATGGTCCTCAGACTCAGACAGAACCAAGACCCGACCCCCACTGCCCTGCCAGAACCCTATCTCTCAGAGGGAGGCGGAAGCACAGGCTAGCCCACACAGATCCCAGGACACTCAAGGATACTCAAGAGGCATGCTGTACCGTGGCGATTCCCCACACCTACACAACAGCACAATCATGAGATGTGTGTACACACAGCTTTACAGAAACTACACCCACACACACACTCACACACTATGGGATATCTGGATGATTCTGCCAGCAGAATTTAAACACTAACTTCTCCCTACCCCTCCAACCCTACACACACATACCAAAAACTGTCTGGCTCTGTGCCCCTTTTACAACAGCAAGCACAGCTAACTCATTCACACTTCTCCATCCCACCATAGCCACACACAGACTCCCTGGCACCTTCAGATGGCATGTACACACTCGTAGTAAAAGGTTTCTGACACATACTGCCAGGCCACCTAGAATATAATCAAAGGAACATCCCATGCCCCACACACTGACTCACTGTCTATGTGAGGGCTGCTGTAGGGCAGGGGTTGAATTATCCATCACACCCTCACAAGTGTAAGACACACCTTTCCACAAACAGTGTTACTCAGCGACTGTCAGGGACATGAGGAGCTAGAGTTTTCCCCCACATTTTACCCCTCTCTAAAAAGAGAAAAAGCATCCAAGAAAGAAGCATCTTTGTCACTGCCCTTTGTCTCTCTGTTTCTCTCTCCTCCCATCTGCCTCTGTCTTCTATCTGAGAGTCCTGGGGAGGTGAGGGAGGAGATGGGCATGGTCAGGGGTGCTCTGAGCAGGCCCCCACCCACCTGCAGACAGCATCCGGAGGTGCCTGAGCCAAGGGGCTGTGCTCCAACAGCACCGTGTGAAGCTGGAGACCAAACCCAAGAAGTTTGAGGATCGAGTACTGGTGAGGGCAGGGAGCTTAGGGGAGGGGGCTGAAAGGAGTTGGGCTGGAAAGCAGGGGAGACAGAGGTGGGAGAAAGCTGAAGAGACACAGACCTGGGGAGGACACAGGACTGAACTGGACACAAAAAGAAGGGCTCTTAGGCAGAGGTTACTGCGGGCAGGAGTTACACACAGGCTAACCAAAACCAAACACTGCCATCAAGTTGATTCCAACTCATAGTGACCCTATATAGGGTTTCTGAGGCTGTAAGTCTTTAGGGGAACAGACAGCCTCATCTTCCTCCTGAGGAGCAGCTGGTAGGTTTGAACTGCAGCCCAGTGCCTAAACCATATCTCCACCAGGGCTCATTTACACACAGGCTAGGGTGACTAAAGGACTCCCAGTATGGCACTGTAGGATCAGCACTGGACTGCAAACTACAAGGTCAGCAGTTCAAATCCACCAAGCAGCTCCTTGGAAACCTTATACAGGGTCACTATGAGTTGGAACCAACTCAGTGGTACCGAACAACAGCAACAAGACGACTAGAAGGAGTCAGGGAGACCAGGGTCTAGGCAGCAGCTCAACAAGTGCTGCCATGCTTTCCTCTCTTTGTAGGCCCTGACCTCCTGGCGCCTCCACCTCTTCCCCCTTAAGGTCCCAGCTAAGGTGAGTTAGGCTGGAGAGTGGTAACATCCAGCATGCTCTGACCTAAGCCTGGCTACCTAGGCCTTTACCATGAGTTGAACCATCCCTGTGCACTCCCAGGTGGAGAGCTCTTTCAATGTCCTGGAGATCCGCGCCTTCAACACGCTCAGCCAGAACCAGGTAAGTACCAGGGCTGAGTCCCATGATTAGGCCAGCCAGAGGAGGAGTCGGTATCTAAGGCCTTACTCCCTCTCCCCCAGGTTCTGGTGGAAACAGAGCGTGGCATAGTGAGCATGCGGCTGCCCTCAGCTGAGAGCGTGGACCAGGTGACCCGACACGTGAGCTCCGCCCTCTCCAAGGTCTGCCCTGGCCCTGGGTGAGTGGCAAAGGAGGCACTTCTCAAGGGGTTACACAGTAGGGAGACTTCTCCCACTATCCCTCCTTCCCCTGGACCTGAGCTCCTGAGATACCAAGAAGAAAGGTCTCATACCCCTACTTTTGCGTTTTCCTGGGGATCCAGAAGTTATACTAGGGGAAACACTAACAGCATCTCTTCCACCTTTCTCTGGGATGGGCTTGTTCACCTTCCAGGTGTCTGATCCGGCGTGGAAATGCAGACACCCCAGAGGGACCCCGAGACACATCCCCCAACTCTGAGACTTCCACATCTACTACTCACAGTGTTTGCGGTGAGCAGGGGCAGACTTGAGGAAGCAGGTCCCAAACCCCCTGACCCGTGTCCATAGCCAGTTGTGAAGGTGGGGGAAGGGAGAGTCTGCCTACCCTGAAAACCCCATGAACTCTCAGGAGGAACACGGGCATTGGTATAAAATATGACCTTGATCTTTCCTTGAACCCCGAGCCTATTCCCTACCCTCTTTCCCTCCATGGACCCAGCCCATCTCCTACCTCACAGGTGGCTTCTCCGAAACCTATGCTGCCCTGTGTGACTACAATGGGCTGCACTGCCGAGAGGAGGTGCAATGGGTGCGTTGGGGCCCAGGAGGCAGGCAGGTGGGACCCAGAGGGAGGGGGCAGAGAAGGTGGGGGAACAGGTGTGACCCAGCTACACCTCTCCAAGGATGTGGACACCATCTACCATGCAGAGGATAATCGGGAGTTCAATCTGTTGGATTTCAGCCACTTGGAGAGCCGGTAAGCAGATGAGCAGAGACTCAACTCCCAAATTCCTATCTCAGCCCCACCCTTAGCACTTCCCAAAATCTCCCTTCTAGTGCCACCCATAGTCCCAGCTCTGCCTCCCCAACCACATGCCCCACTGCCACCTACCCATCCATTCTTTCCCCAGCCCAACCACCCCATTCCATTCCTGCCCAGCCACCAGCTGACCATTTGTTGCCCACTTAAATCTCTCCACAGCGACTTGGCCCTAATGGTGGCAGCCCTGGCTTACAACCAGTGGTTCACCAAACTCTACTGCAAGGACCTGCGGCTGGTAGGGACCAGGAGGACCCAGCGGGGATGGAGTGGAGAGTGGTGGTGTCTGTCTTGGTTCCTGATTACAGGTTCCC